ACATCTGGTTTTTCCTAGACTTGTATTATGCGATGCCGTATTGTATTTTAAAATGTAAATTGTGTTTTTAAATGTTTTAATTGTACTGTATTTTATTGCTGGAAGCCACCCTGAGCCCATCAAGGGGAGGGCAGGATATAAACCCAATTTTAAAAAACCCTGAAATTATGCTGTGTGTCATTAAGGTGCCACTAGACCAGGGGTGTTGAACTCATTTGTTATGAGGGCCGGATCTGACATAAATGAGACCTTGTTGGGTCAGGCCACGTATGTCATAAAATGTAATGCTAGGTAGCGGCAATATAAACTTTATCAAGGACACAAACACAAAGGGGTTTTTTTTAATAACTTAAAATAAAAACAAGCTTAAAACATTTAGCACTCTTGCAATATTTTGTTTATTTAACAGTGTCTGATAACCGACATCTCTTGTTCTGAATTATTGCATCAAAATGTCTGTGCTGTTGCAATCCTGAGTATGCTGTTCAGGTGTGTATCTGTAAAGCTGCAAACCTACAATGACGCAGCAGCAGCAGAAATGGAAGTCCTGGTCTGACACCATACCTCACTGGACCAGATTTTCTTCCATCAGAATATTTCCCCAAATTTCTCATAAACCTGGCCAGTTAACAAGTCTGTTGTGACTGACAGTAGCTCTTCAGGACTGGGGGAAGGGAGTGGCAAACGGGGGGCTCACCCAGTTGGAGGATTGGGATTTTGCCAGGCTCAACCACCACTGAGCTCCCCACCACTCCTGTGCTACAGGCAATGCTCCCTGTAAGCTGTGGACTCTTGTGAGCAGAAATTCTACTTGGTGAGCGACTGGCATTAAAGTTGTGAGTGAGCGATTTGGCTGCTGCATGAATTAGTTTGCTCTGGGGCCATCCTTCCTGAGCTAAGACAAAAATATGTGAGCTGGAGGCTAAAAATCTGTGAGCTAGCTAACACTAACTCAGCTAAGATGGAACACCCCCCCCCCCCCCCCCCCCCCCCCGTTCCCATAGCTTTACATTCTTGTTCAGGATTAAAACTTGCGGTTTCCCGAGCTGCAGTCAAGAACTCTGTCCTTAGACCAACAGACCTCAGTCTGTTTGATGTCAGACTTTTCCATAGGAAATGGTGACGTGACAAAACACACAAGAGCCTCCTGGCATCTTTAAAAACCAAGAGGCAAGCAGCGGCAGAAACTCTTGGTGCTACGTCTGACAAGGTGGGATGTGGTGCCGTAGAGTTTTGGCTGCAATCCATTTGTCAGCCTTTAAAGGTGCCACAGGATTCCTGGTCATTTCAACAGCAGCAGACTTAACCTGGTTATTCCTCTGGAATGAAATGCTTTACTGTGTTTTGTCATTCATTGTAATGTGCCGTGTTATCCTCATCTTCGCAGATTTGGAGAAAAGGCTAAGAAATAGTTGCTTAGTATTGTGCAAACCCCAAACCTTTCAGTCATGCCTGGATCTCCCCTTTCAGGATGCTTCTGCAGGATGGTTTCCCTTCTGCAAATGCCCTGTCAGAGATTACAAGGCCTAAACTCTGTGGGTCATAGAATCATAGAGTCAGAAGGGACCCCCCAGGGTCATCTAGTCCAAACTCCCTGCACAATGCGGGGTATTCACAATGGTCCCCAGGGCCATTGTATACAAGTAACCAGACTGTTGTTTATTAGAAAAGATGTATAAAGGTTGTTATAAACTCAATCAATTAGGGAAGTTTATCAAACGGCCAATCTATATATCTAATACCGAAGTCACCCCCTGCGTGTGGATACTTATTTCCGCACATCGGGGGCACCTGGGGGGGAGGGAGATGTTTGTGCACACTTGGGGCAGTCCCCAGGTGTGCACAAAAATCTGAAACCTGTAAAAAAATATTGCGGGGATACTTAAATCCCCCAAAAGTGACATGCGCAGGGAACGCTCTGCACCCGGCCTCGCTGCCGCCGCTTCGGAGCTGGGCGGG